CAAACACACTATCTAGCAGCCATTGAAGTGGATATGACCGTGAGTATTTTGTAGCTTGAAGTCCCAATGTGTTCAACCTCTGTATAGAGAATGATTGAAGCATCTCTCTAGGCACCGCCATCTCATCAACATTCACACTGAGAGTCTGCACTTTGGTCAGCTCGGCATTAACCTCGATGCATGGCTGGATCATATCACGTGTAGCAGACAAGTACTGGTAGGTAACAGAAGAAAGAACCAATGATAATCCTCCACGTGGTAAGGTAAGTAGTAGCATTGTGGCGATTTTGGCCCAGAGAGTGCGTCACGTGGCCTCCAGAGGCCCATTTACCTTTGTTATATATATGGATTTTCTAGTTCAGAATAAGGCTTACCATTTTCTCATAATACAATATACACACTTGTTTCCTTGCTCTTCAAGAAAAAGAAAGAACTCCAATCAATTGAGTCAAGTTCGATTAAATCACATTATAGTCACTTTCCATTATATATTTACGTATATATATATATTCTCTTAGGGATCATTCTCACGAAAAGGTATAGATGTCGACAGTAGAGGAAAATTTGGAAGCTCGCTTTTTAGCTGAGGAGTCATCACCATCTCGTCGGGAAGATCCCCCCACACCGATCATACCAATAGTGTGAATGGCACCACTCGTCGAGGTCCCAGCAACCCCTCTGACGCTCACTGTGGAGAACATTCAGAGGATAGTCATCCAAGCAGTACAATAGTACCGAGCAAGCAGAAAAGTGGTTAAGACCTGCCCACCTCGTAACTCAACCCCTATAACGGCTACCCATGAGGCGAGATTGGTAGCATATCTTTCCACGAGTTTGCCGGTCCCGCTCCAGCGACAGCAGCGAGGCAACCCATTTTCTGCGGACATCATGGCCTACGATTTGTTGGTGGGATTTCAAATCCTAGAACACCTCACGTATGACGGAACGATGGACCCTTCGGACCATGTGAGCAGATTCCAAACCATGTCCTATCTGCATCAGTTTTTGGACAGAATCATGTGTCGTACGATCACGTTGCGAGATGCAGCTCGGCATTGGTTTGGTAACTCCTAGAAGGCTCGGTGCGAGATTTTCTTAAGGCGGGATGAACCTCGACCGAAACGCTGCATGCCGTCTGGAGCAACCGGCACGCAGGCTT